TGCAACTGCATCCAGAGGCGCCATCCAGTTCTTTGACAATAATATAGTACATGGTCGATATGTTGATGAGGTACAGATGCGTAGTTTTTTTTGACTGGAAGTTTTAATTGTCTGATAGAACTAACTCTTCCCGTGTTTAGTCCGATGATGAATTCCAGCCGATCCAAACAATCATACAACAAAATCAAAAAAACTATCATTAAGAAAGGTCGGGATAATGGTTTATGTTGTCTTTAATTTAATATGTGCATTTTTTAAATGACTACTTTTGATGTCTACAGTCGGTCAATTCGGCCACTCCAAAAAACGTATGTATAGAACACAATTCTATTAAGGAGTAAATTCCTCTCAAATTTCTCTTCTTGTTATGTGAACAGGCTAAACCTACAGATGAAAGAAATGCGGAGACATCATCAAATTCACCATCCTTAGACATGCCAACCGCAAGGCCTAGCACCCCAGAACATCAAATTTGTTCCACATATGCGAATTTACTCAGACGGCTAAATCAAGAAAAACAGCGAGTTGAATCGAAACTGTAAATAAACATGTTTATCAAAGTGAATCTGCATTCTTATATGGTATTTACTAATTAGCTAATTTCCTCAATTTTTTATAATAGTGAACCCATCTGTTCAAACATAATCGACACAACAAATAAGCTTTTAATGGAAAGATTGAAAATAAAACGTGGTTATCTATGGGTTTCTGTTGTTAATGATGTCACAGAATATATTGATGAATTAATTTTAAGGATTTGTCGCTAGTAATTTCCTTTTCTTTATATTCATCACCGATTGCACACAATCTTCTTTATCTCTGCTTCCAGTCTGATACTCGCAATAATTTACGTAGAAAACTTCAACTTCCGTTTATCCCACCAGAAGAAACTTATTCATTTAGTAAGCATTATGAGATGACTTGGGTCCACCGTTTCGCCGAAAAACTGTGGGTATTTAATTTTCGTTTCCATAGATATTATTTTACATTGTTTAGGTTAAAGACTTACTTCGCCTATATGCTATTATATAGGTTATCTTTCTTTGAGGCTCCACGTAATCCACTCCTAGATAAAAATTCCGAAGGTTGGTTAAATTGCCATATCTTGACCCCGTTAATTGATGACTGCTTTTTAACATGTGAAGAAATTCAAGTTCATCGGTATGAAATTACTTCTCTAGTAATATTTAATGTAATAGTTAATTCTTAGCTTTGAGTTTCAATATTTTATTCTAATTATTTTCAGAGGTGAAAAGATGTCATTGGCATCCATTGAACGTAAAAACTTATCAAGAGAAGAATCGGAAAGAAAACAATATGGACACAAAATTGATATTCTCTTTCGCATCGATGACACAGAATATTTTGGTTCAGAAACGTATGTTGATGAAGATTCACAGAACTCGAAACCCATTTCATACAAGCAAAAACTTTTCCGCGAAATGAAGGATCAATTAGACCGTCTCTTAAAGAAGTTAAAATTTACGAGGGAAACAATTAAGGAGATAAAGAATATTGCTATACATGGAGTAAATCAAGGAGGTAGTTATAAGAAGTAATGGAGAGATTCTTATATTAATATCTTTCACGCTTGGCTGAAATAATCATTACGTTCAATAAAAGGTCTTAATGGAAAGATCTATGCAATGTATTATGACACTGATCTTCAATATTATCTTGTCTTTGAGACATGTCAGTATCGAATCGGTACTACGTGAGGAAGTATTTCGGAAAGTCTCGCGTCTTTAAAAGAATTTTTGTGTTTAAAGGTATGTTCTTTAATGTCTGTTTAATGCCATATTTCTTTCTTACAAATTTTGATTCTGACAATTGCAGAGAGATATAATTAGTGTTCTTGACACTGTTAAGAAAACAAAAATAATTGCTTTGCGCGCAGATTCAAAGGATTTATTTACAATAGAAAATCTTCCAGAAACAACATCATCCCCGAAAAAAATACAAAAAAAAAAAGAATAATGTAGTTTGATTTAGGAATAAGTAATCGTATATAAAGTTATTTTTGCACTGTAAACTGATTTGCATCCTGTAATCATAATTTTTCCAAGCGTGCCAATACCATTTTCGAGATGTTATTCTGAAATACACTTCCCTACAATAAATTATAGGATGATTGATAATTTTTTCCAAATTTTTTTGAATTTATTAATATAATGTATTATGATATTATCATATTTCTAGTTTTAATAACAGCTTTTAACACATTTAGGTAATTCTTGTACAATACAAATTAATTCACAAGTGTTTGATAGAATTTAAATTAAGATTTTGTGAATTTCAATTCAAAAAATAATATATTGTATGTTGTCATTTACCAAGTTGTATATATTGATATGTAACATGGAGTCAAATATTGTTGAAATATTATGTTTGAATTTGAATAATTATTAATTTATAATATTAAAGTTTTTTGCAAAAAATTAACATATAGTATATATAAAAATTAATATTTTTTTAATAATTCAATATTATTTTTTTTGAATTCAACCAGCTGGGCCTTGCCTAGCATACTTTATTATTTTATTCACATATGTAATTCATATATTACAGAAACTACTATCTATAAATAATTCTACGTATCACTAGACTATATCAGATCTACCCCATATCAGCTTGTTGCTGTCAGCGTCACCCCAGAGGGGTTGTGCTGAGGCTAACGTGCCAAAGCCCCGTTAGTATTGTTATTATATCATTATGTTCTATTTGGCACTGTATGAATTTAAAGGAGAAGTTTGAATATGGAGAACTGGGGGTAGTATCTATTTTTGGCGAATAGAACCACTACAGAGAGAATTCTTCTAGACCTGACTACTTGTAAATGGGCATACTATTTAATTTTCACCTTCCTAGAGCTACCCAAGAATGTTCAAGAAACTTATCTCACAGACTTATAGCCCATAGATTGTTTTAGCTATCGGTACTTACTGCTGTTTTGGCTGCCTTTTCAGGATAGGTAACTGTCGGAGCAATCTATTACTGGATTGGAATAAGGTCTTTCTGGAAACTTGCAAGAAGAGACATCAGATACTACGGAAAAATGATCACCAAGCCATCTTTACCAAAAGCGGACACCTTATACACCTTACAACTTCCAGCGATCATTGTAACACCAACCAGACGATTGTTGCACCACGACATCTTTTCTGAAAATCACAATCTTAATGTCTGCTGGATCAGCGTGTGATACGACTTCTCATGAGAAATATCACTTATACAGGTTATGGCATCAGATATCATATTAATTCTATTCAACTGTTTTTACATAGGGTTGAACTGGTATCTTGTGATTTGACCTGTGGAGTATTAACCATAGACCCACAGGTCCAATAATTCAATAATTCAATATTATATTAATTAAAATATTTTCAAAATATAATAAATTTTTTACTAAAACTTAATAATAGACTTAATACAATTTATATTATAAACATTTTTTTTTTCGAGACTTAAGTGCATTACATACAAACTTTTATTAACTTATTATTGAAGTTACAATCATATTATAAATATTTTTTACTCTTTATAATATTTGCTCTATATAAAATATATAAAATATCTATTTTCAATTAATAGATTTAATAATTTATAAACTTGAATAAAATAATTTTTAATTTATTAGAAAAAAAATAAAACTCTTTTCCACTTCACATCTAATTTCCTTTTTAGAAAACTCTCAAAAAACCAAAAAATCAAAAACTTTATTTACATAATTATTCAAAGTAGGGTTTCGATCGGTATCAGTAAATATCGTTACTGATTTATTGGTTTCAGTTTTGGTACTAATTTTAAAACTAAAATACTAAACTAAAATTTTCAATAAAGTACCGATTGGTAATTAATAATAACAATAGAAGTTATATCAATATTAATAGAAATTACATCAAACTATAAATATAAATAGAATTTTTATTATATAATTTCAATAAAT